TGGCAAAACTATTTCAGTCATGACCATTAAATTGTAACCTTATATCACTCAAATATGCTGATCCAGAAAAATGTCTCCTTCCTTATCGTCAGCTTGCCATCACTATTCCTATAACCTTTCTCAAAACTTCTCTTGAATTCTTGATCTTCTAAAATCTAATCTGAACCCTTTAACTCTTTTTTATTCTGTTACCCTACTCATTACAACGTTGGTATCACTATCCATAAATTGAAATAGAATAGAAATCTAAAATTGTCATACCCATTAAAAGCCTTTATCTCACTTATCTTATTGTCATGCTACTGCTGTTGATGATGATGGAAGCAATCATCACCACCAACAACCCAATTGTTCGTATCATTGAGCACAAAAAAGCCATTGGATTACGGGAAAGTACAACTTGATTGCCTGTACTAAACTACTACCCCAATGTTGCTTGGTTCCTCTTAATAGATAGCAAACTTGATCTCAATAAAATTGTGTCAATTCAGAGAAAAAATGTGGGTTGATTTAGGATGACCAATCCAAATGTTGAGAGCAAAGGTTAAAAGAATTTTGGTAACTGAGCGATTGGCCGTTTGAGTGGGGAAAAGGTAAGAATTGTAAGTTTTATGATAAACAGTTTGATAGGCAATATATGGAAAAAACTTATAGAGAGGTAAAGATTGTGAAGGTAAGAACTACGACAGTGGATTTTGGCATCTAAGATAAAGAGTTTGTTCGAAAGAAGAAGTGATAAGAGTTTGAAAATTTGGATGGATGTAAAAAACCATGAAAATGGAAAACATCATGACATTGGTTAAGCAACAAAACGCATACTTTTAAAAAATTTTAATGGTTATTCATATTTTGAAAATTAGATGAGGGCAATTTTGGGCATTCATATACTTTTTTGGTCTTACATCATCAAGGTGAAATCCAAACTTATGTTTTAGGGGAGCTATGTGTAATTTTCAAAACATGAGGGGAGCTGTCTAAAATTATGAGAAACCTCAGGAAGGTTTCTGAAATTATCCCTTCATAAAAAAGCTGACATAACTATGGCAAATTATCAGAGGGCACCTCATGTTCTGACACATGGAGAACTAACATTGTCCTACATATCCATATTTGTGTAACTCTGTATTTGGGGGAGAGGATCCTAAGCAGTTTTTCGGTATAATCACTTGAGGGAATTTATGGTAAAGATTCCACCAGTTGAATTTTGAGCAGCACAGATGCAAATGCACAAGAATTGGTAAGACCAGAAGTTGAACATTATTTACGATCCCTATACATGTGTTTTGTTACTGTCTACATCTCTTGTTTCACTAAGTACACATTCAGTTATATACATCTTCCCGAAGCAATATTCTTTGCACTTGGGAGTCCAACTCACTCTGGAGGAGTAAAGATTGTCTTGACCGTACGTGAAGGACTTGATGTATACTTGCATAGTACCACAGCTTTTTTTTTTTTGGGGACTTTGGTGGCAGTGTATGGAACTATTGGCTGAGATGGGGAAAATTGGGGATTAGAGGCTTTTAAGTGCAAAAGAAGGAAAATAGATTTTGGAAAATCGCTATTTATACAACCTTCCCAATTTCTTTCATTTCGTCTTCTTTCTCAGTTTCTTTTGTTTCTTCTAAATCAAGGTGAAACTCATAAGAATCCGGATCAATCAAGGAGAGCTAGAAACTACAGCTTTGCCTGCTTACCACGGTAATTTTAGTGGCTAAGAACTATGAGTTTGCCTAAATAAGGTGAAACTCATAAGAATCCTTAAGTAAATAACCTTCTATCTTTTTTTATAATAATATTTTATCTTTTTTAAAATAATATTTCTTAAATAATCTTTTATCTTTACTAGAAAATGTTCCAAAATGTGAGACTTGGGGTGCATTTGATAAAACTAAAATATGAAACCATAAATCTAAAGTCTAAATCTATTAAGTTATTACATTATTAAATACTAAATCAAATACATTTGAGTGTATATCACATTTAGTGATAAGTAAATAGTTTATCACTTATTTTTTCAAGCAAGATTTGTCTAAGAAATTTAATGCCACTTAATTAATTCAGATATTTACTTTGGTTATCAAACGCGTCTAAACATATTAAGATCTGGACAGTTGAACCAGTGATCCGCTAAACCCGGCAGTTTTTTATGAACTCGGTGGTTTTGAAAATTTTTCTGATTACTTTTTTACCCAATTTTTTAATTTGACCAACCACACCAACATAGGCATTGTCCTCTCTTTGACAATAAAATGAGAAAAATTGAAAAGAAATTTGGGAATTAGGGTTTATTTCTTTGTTTGATACTTAGATTTATCATTTATATTTGTATATAATATCAATATGAATCCATGAATTAAGAAACATGTATGGGTGTGTATATGAACTTTGAAACATGAATAGCTTATGGTTTGTTAACATTTAAGAATTTCTATATTTATATTATAATTTATATGTTTATTTATTTATATTAATTTTTTTTATTATATAGTGTGACCCAACGGTTCAATCTGTGACCCCACTGATTGAACTATTGACCCACCAACCCAGTCCTCCTGCCAGGTTGATGCCCGGGTTGATTTTAATAACTATGTTTTGAACCAAAATATAAGAGTCGATTTGATCGTAAGTTGAGCCACGGCTTCATTCAACTCTACACAACTCAAGCTTGGCCCAAATAATTTTACATGTAAGTATATATATTTTAGAGAAAATGACATGTTTCATCCCTCACATTTCGTAAAAATATTCTTTTCGTTCCTCACATTTAAAACGAAGCAAATTGGTTCTTCACATTTAAAAACCCAAGCTTTACATCCTAGAAATAAACTCTTAGTTGTGATCAAACCATCTAATAACTCAATTACAAATTTTGGGGATAGAATTGATTGATCACTTGCAAAAACATATTTCCAATAAATAAATTAAAACAATTAAAAAATCTTAATTAAAACCCATTTGATTTTTCAAAAGAACGAAATAGTGCTAAGGCTCTCAAGCACTAAACCCTTAGCCATCTTCCTCAGTTTTGTTGCACTAAGGGTTTAGTACTTGAGAGCCTTAGCACTGTTTCGTTCTTTTGAAGAAACAAATGGGTTTTAATTAAGATTTTTTAATTATTTTAATTTATTTGTTGGAAATATATTTTTGCAAGTGATCTATCAATTCTATCTCCAAAATTTGTAATTGAGTTATTAGATGGTTTGATTCACCACTGAGAGTTTATTTCTAGGATGTAAAAGTTTGGATTTTTAAATGTGAAAGACCAATTTGTTTCGTTTTAAATGTGAGGGACGAAAAGAATATTTTTACGAAATGTGAGGGATGAAACATGTTATTTTCCCTATATTTTGTATATTACAATGTAAAAAGGTAATACCCCATATACCATTATGTTAATGTCAAATATATATTAATATAATTATGCTTTAATCGTGAGTTTAGCCCAAATCCGAACTAAACCGAAAGCCTCAACATATTTGGGATCTAAGTGTGAGCTTAATAAAACAAAACACCAAGCCCAGAAGCCCAAAGATCTTGTTTCTTTTGTAAGCCACATTTGGATTTGTCAAACTCACTCCCAAAAACCTGTTGGCAGCCCTAATCGCTTGTCATACTATTTGACCTACTAAAATACGTCGCGCTCCATTCTGTCATCAAGCTACAGCAAAATTTGAGGAGGAAAAACGGAAAAAATAAAAGCTAGAGAGGAGATTCCCACCCCAAAAGTCTTTAGCTATGGAAGGAATTTTGGAAAAAGAAATTTAATTTTTGACATACCACAGCTAGTAATCCATAGGCCTTGATTCCCTGTCAAATTCTTCTCACCATCACTAGAATGATGAATCTCAATGCTGTGGTCTCCAATCATGCTTGCTTTTTTCGTACTTGCTATCTCATCTCCAGCAGAATCTGTTGGACTCCCCCATGGAGAATGTTCCATTAGACCTGGGGCATAAATAGATGGTATTCTTGACGTTGGAAGTTTTTATACTGACATGACAATCAAAATTCAAATTTCATACTGGAATGATAATTAAAATTCATAGAAAGTTAAAAAAGAAAAAAGAAATGCATAATGGCTATTGTTCTTAGATTGTTCTCCTTATCACTGAATTAGAGAGCAGAATATTTTCCTTCATTATATACAAGTCAGTGATCATTATCACGACATTTGCCCTGGTATTTGATTAAAAGGTAAAGTTGAAATGGGAAAAGGACACTAACACGAATAGATCCATCTTTTCCAGAAAACAAGTTTGGCTCCACTAGGAAATGCAGATGGCTTGTGAGCCAGTAACTTGAGAGCATAGTCACCATTATGATCTGGGGTGACGCCAAGTTTTGGATACCGTTGAAGTAGCATTGAAGCAACATCTGTAACAATAAAAAGCAGAAGCTAGATCATTAGAGGCACATATAGTCTGATGCAGATTGGTATATTGCCTTTTACATCTATAATCTTACCATAAATTTCCGCCGTAATCAGGGAATTAAGCAGTGTAGCTCCGTTCTTGCCCACCTCTGGATGTAGTTGCTCCTTTGGTGTCACCGAGTATAGATAATTGACCATATGCTTTTGACCATACAAAGCAGCCACGATGACAGGAAGCTGCCCATCATCAAGTTCATTTTCCCTGCTAAGTAGACTATCATTTTTGTTCACGATTGCCCTTGCCAACTTCTTTTCACCACTGATAGCAGCAAGAGTAAGAGCTGTGCATCCATAGTCATTAACCATTTCCAAGTCTGCTTGTTCCATTTTCCTCAACAGTTCCTTTGCGATTTTCATGTGTCCATTTAGAATGGCAAGGTGAAGTGCAGTTTCTCCATGTGATGAAATTATGGCCCTAACAGCGTCTGGATCTTGATGAAGGAGACTTTTTGTGAGATGAAGATCGCCCTTTTCAATTGCTATGTACAAGGGCGCATAATGGAGGTACTCTTTTGGTCCTGTAAACATTAGAATTTGTTTCGAATAATATCTCTAATATGGTCATCTATCATAATTAATGAGCAATTGAAATCTGAATGAGTATAAACTGTTCAAGAAGCATAGAAAAGCAGAAAAAGAGCAATAATATTGTAATTGGATATTAACCAAATCACTAATGACAAATTCTAGCTGTGGGAGATGTTTTGCAAGGCCTTTTTTTGGTAAATTAGGCCTCACAACTCTCAAGTGTCCGCCATTATTTGGCACACAGAGCTTGCACAATTGAATTGGAGTTTCATTTGAAGTAAAGTACAGAAATTCCACAGCAAAGAATTGCCTGATAAAAGAGCAAAAGAAAAGAAATCAAATGGAATAAGAGTAAGAACAGATGGAAAACCTGCAATCGCTGAATGCTTCCCTCCTGCTACCACATGATTCAAGTTAGCTATCAAATGAACCATTTTGTTCTTAAAATTTGACCAAGAGAGAGAACCTCTTCATTCCACATGTAAAATTACTTGCGAAACCATAAATATTTCATAGCAACATCATCGAGAGTTACCTTCTTCTTCAACATGGCTGCTTTCATCTTCAGGATCACCTTCCCCCAATATTTTGTGGGGCTTTAGTTTTTCCACCAAATGCTTCCATGCAACTTCCGCAGAAGTGTGAGCTTCCTTAAGTTTAACATATGTGCCCGGTCCACACGAAAGTTGGATGGCATGTAAGGCCAATGCATTCTTCTTCTTCCATTCCTCATGTTCTTGTTCCTTTTCTTCGCCATATTCTTGTCTCTCATCGTTCATAGGATCTTGCTCCTCTCCAGAAACAACACCCCAAAGGCCATGACCGACCAAATAATGTTCCAAGCATCTTTTCCATTCCTCATAGTTCTCCTCAGTGAGCTCCTCAGGAACGATTCCGATTGCTGCTCTACCAATTATATCATCTCCTGCTTAGAAACATAATCTTAGAGGATGCCAGTGTCCAAGATATAAAGGTGGATGCACAATTTCAATTCGACACTATTACCGAAAGTTACAACCAACGTAGATAATCAAGAAGTTTATTCACATTAGCCAAAAGACAACTAGCAAACACCATTAGTTCCTTTAGCTTATATAAAGAAATGATCTATTCTTATCAATTGAACTAACTTGTGTTGGCTCTATACTAAGCCATGATATAGTGTTGGCAAAGTTCCATAGTCATAGTGAATGAAATTCAAGGCCTTAACAATTGTTTGTACCAATTATACAAGATAATTTACATAAGAATTTTTAAACGGTATCCAACTACTAGTTAAAACATCTAAATTACACTTTTTGGATGCTTGGTTCATGCTCCCGAATTGGAATTCGTATCATACACAAATAATTAAAACAGGTACAACCCTATGTTTTTTTTTTTTAGGAAAAACCCTATGTTATCGTTACAATATTATATTGGTTGGGAAAATCTTTTTAAGTTTGGGTATCAGAATAAGATGTTATATTTTTTAACAGTTTTTCCTCTCTTTTTTTTCCCCTTTTTTCCCTTCCTCCAAATTCCACCCGTTTTGGACGTCGACGGACAGCATTTCTTCCTTACCGCCACCAATCAGCTTTCAAGCTCAAGAGAAATTCAAACCTAATTACCACTTTAACCTCTTGAAATCATATTTATTTCCAAGATTTTCCTATCAAAGATAGATGTAAGTTGAAACTAGATATCCAAAATAGCAGAATGTTGATCATCTTCTTTGGTTCAAGAAGTTTATACTTAGTTTGTTACTATCAAAATCACCCCCAAACCTCATCACTAGAAGTCTTGTCAACTACAGTGACTAGATCGAAATTTGTCTGTTTGTCATTTAAAGGTCAAATTTGGTAATCAACTAAAACTTTCCCAATATAGTCAGGGATGCAGAGTCACATACTCACATTTCTAGATTTCATTCCAACTCTTCAATCCCCGTACCTTTTTGCCGAGCAACAATTATGATAGTGATTCTAATTCTTGATTCCAAAACCTTCTTACCAAGCAGCCCCTTAGTTTATCATAGGATTATTTCACACAGATTTATTGCACCATTATATTGAGACATCTTCTTAAATTAATTCCATTATTTCTGGAATGCAAATAGCTGTACTGGGAATTGTCATCTCCTTTTGAAAATTTCTCTATAATTTTGTTTTAACCGCACAAAAATCTAAATTGGGAGATTCTTACCCATGAAGGATCATATATAATTGTCTATGACAACTATTCAAAAAAAAAAAAAAAAAACTCGTCACAAATGGAATTAGGTGATGTCCCTCAAAAAAAAAAAAAAAAGGAATTAGGTGTGTAATTTTAAGGTGTTATTTACACCATATTATCTATCAAACACAATCTCTCCATGCACGAGATAGAAAATGGGATTGTCAATTGGGCATTTTGAATTGAATTTTATCAAACCCAAGCTCACTATTAAAAAAAATCTAGTGATGATGTTCACACTCGTCTGACTCACAAAAAAATTGGATGCTATCGGGCCTTCTCACCTCAAAAGCTAGCTCAAGGGGCTTTTCCTTACACTTATAACATAGCATCCTGTTCTTTTCACGGTCGATGTGAGATAAATTCAACAGAATTTAATAAAATCCAAACTTCGCTTACAATAAAATCCGACTTCATATCTAGGCCCAAAATTATGTTCGACCTAGCGTGTGAGACTCGACTCGAAATTTTTCGAGCTGAGCTGACCAAGATCAAGTCTGCACAAACCCATATTGTCAGTCCTAACTGCAGAGCAAGTCTGTACAGTGTGTGAGTAGTTCACCGTAAATTTTACTCCCTAGATTGATATCAACCCAATGCTTTAAGAACTATCAAGCACAATTAGTTAGGAAAAACTACAATAAAAACAACTTGTACATAAAAAGTATGCAATTTTTACAGAAGATTTACAACGAATTGACCGTTTAACTAACCTAGAAGTGTTAGGCATTATTAATTATCACTCTACATGACTCGAGTAAAAAGTTGCAATTATTGTCTCCAATATCTGGAACAGGACTTCTTCGTTGCTTGAACATTAGAACTGGTTAGATGAAACCAGAGTGATGTATTGAATGCTAGAACTGCTGTTGCATGCGCAAAAAAGGGACAACTGGAACATAGCATGACTTTTATGGTAATCATAAGTGAACATTCATATCCTAAATGAGCAAATATACAGACCAAAAAATGTGTATGTTTTTAGACTAACCTGCAACTTTCGTCATCCTTCGGGCTTGATCTTTTGTGATGGGGAAACAGAAACTATTCTAGGCACTCATTAGCTTTAGCACTAGCATTTATAGAGAGAATGATTCTCATTCTTATACACTTTTGCACTTTTTATTTCTTTTTTATCTGTGTTCTTTCTGATCAATGATCTGATGTTCTTTTTAAAGTACGTTATGCGACACAACTGTAAATATGCTGCTACCATTCCCATGTGTCTGAGACATGAGGGATTCTTTGCGTAAATTGATGATTTAGCTAATAAAATACGAACAAATCACAATTTTTGGTGGTGGAATATGATTACAATTTTCAAAATTGCTTCAATTTTTGGTGGTGGGATTGAAAAGCAACCCACAATAATGATATACTCCTTTGATTCTTACGGCAATGCTTTCTTACTCGTTAAAATTGGGTGGTGCAGAAAATATCCCACAAGAATATAACAAAGAAGAAGAAATATGAGAGAACTCTTGAGACGTGATGATATTATTACATGTAAATGATTTTTTTTTGCAAATAATCTCTATCCAAAATCACAAGTTCCTCCATCCCCTTGTTAAATGATTTCATCAAGAAAAGGAAAAAAAAAAAGGCAGATGGAATTTAATTTCTCAGCATCTAACTCTGAAAAATTATAGCTTGCATTTACTAATTGGGTTCGCATTGAAAAAGAATTACACTTGTTCGTTGTTTGGGACCTTTTTCTGCTTTCTTTTCACAAGTAGACAAACCCGTACGAGATCCATGTGTTTTTCTATCCTGTGCTTGCATTGGATTCCCATTATTATCTCAGATTGACTGAGGCTATGCTCAGAAGTCTGAACCAATAATGAAGTCACTGGGCCATTTCAATAATTCAGTCTGGGTGGATTGAAAAGGAACTTACGACCATTTCCACGGTCATCCATGGCAGCAGACGTTTTTTTTTTTTGTGTTTTTAGGCTATTTTTTACTTTTGTGTTTTTAGTCTAACCTTGAGAAATTACTGCTTGCATTTACTGTTTGGGCTGGCATTGGAATAAAATTTCACTCATTTGGTGTTTGGTAACCGTTTTTTTTTTTGCTCTCTTTTACGGCAATAAAAAGGTATAATGTGACAAATTTTGTACCACTCGATTTATCATTTATGAGTGGAGTCATAAATCGGCTAATTGATTGAAATATAGATACTTGCCAAAAAGTTCCGTCAAATGTGGTCCATCAGCTCCGTGGTATCATTCTATGCCCGTCGCTCCTACATGGCGCGACGGGCAGCAAATTTTTTTTTTTTTTAAACTTGGTGAGGTGGGAGGCAAGAGTTCAAAACTTGCCTCCCACCAAAATGCCACATTTAAGTGATTTGCTTCAAAAAAATTCAGACGGGTGTATTGTGTACTCGTTTGGTCCGATGGTGGTTCAGTTCCCTCCAAGTTATCTCTGGATCTCCTTAGGTCCACCCTCTCCCCTTTAGTGTAGAATAGATTAAGTTATACAACAATTATCGTCTCCGATAAATAAAAAACAAAAAAAAAAGTCGCGTGAGAATTTGAAACCCTCTCTGTAGTGCTGAAATCGGCATTGCGGAATGTTGAATACCAATCAATCCTCACTCACCACATTCACATTTCACTGTTAAAGAATATGATACTGCCTTTTTGGACACTTGTTTCTCACATTGCATTGGCTTTTAACACTGTATAAAATTGATTTTTTTGGACACTTAATAACTTGCCTGAATTCAAGCCCATCTTTCTAACCTCGTTTACAAATCAATTGTTTTAGGCTTCATGTCTTGTCCCTGTGTGCTTCTATTTGAGCCAATCATGCTTTCTTTTGTGGCATTGGGGGGGAAATGCCCACAAGAATGGTAGGGTTGAAAAAAATATATAAAGGGCATATATGACGAATGAGATATTTGAGTGCAACTTGTGAGGATAATTATTCTTAATAAGAGCAGACATGATATTTTGATTTGACCCAGGGCACAATTGAAGAAAATGGACAAAAATGGAGCCATAGCGGTGGTACTCTGATGGAATTGGACATTGGAGTTTTCCCTTTCCTTTTTCATCCTAGAAAATATATAATAAAGCAAGCTTTTCAGGTTCAGAATTCTTTGAAAATAAACATTATCCCAAAAAAGAATCATTTGAAAATAGATCATTCATAACGAACTAAACACTTCAATTGAGGTTTTTAACTACTTCACTTAGATTCCCTCTAATTTGAAAAATTATACTGACCTCATTTTGATTGATAAGTTCGATAATAAAATCAACCCTGTAAGGCTTTTTCAGCTTTTCTCCAAAGAAAATACTCTTGGATGGACCTTAAAATCGGAAATAGAATTGTAGTCCTTAGTGCTAAATGGTGCCATTTGGCTTACACAATCCCAAAGCCCCACAAGGCCTGAGGTTGTCCTTAGTGCTAAATGGTGCCATTTGGCTTATACAATTCCAAAGCCCCAAGGCCTGAGGTTGTTTTGGTAAAGTGGTTGGAAAAAACTTATAAAACCTAATCAGAATGTAAACTTGAATATATGCCCAGCGAATTTTTTTCCTTGAAAAACAGTTCGAGTGAGTTCAAATCCGATCACGACCATGAATCAAAGCATACCTCCAAAATCATAAGTTGTTTACGTGCAACAGCTGCTGCTGGTGATCGAGATAGAGAAGTATTGGAGAAGGGCAAGTGGATCGAGATGGAGAAATGATGGGGCAAAACCACAAAGTGTGAAAAGGTTGGCAATTATTTAGATGTTACAAGATGGAGGCTGGCATCAGCCGATCATACCTTTTCGGTACTGATAAGACTAAGACCAATTAATGTGAGTGATTTGAATTCACTTGCAAAAAAAAAAAAAAAAATTTATTTAGAAGATCACATCATATGATCACTATTACATACATTATAGAGATCAATTGAATATAAGCTTTTAAGCTTGATGTCCACCTAAAACATGAGCTCAACTCGGGATCTTCTATTTAACAAGTAGTGATAAAGTCGGATAGAAATTGGTACAGAAAGTGAGATAGAGGATGTCCGGAGTCCAAACACCCGTTGTAAAACTCATAAACCACACCATGAGAGTTTTCTCTTGGAATTGCCAAAGATGCCCGATCCATAGGTGCGATTAATCATCTCAACAAGGAGAGGGAATTGCAACAATGAGAAAAATGCAACTGGAACAGTGGAGAGAGCAACAATGGGATAGAAAACCCAAGTTAGCTGTTCGTTCAACATCAGATATATAGCAGCACCAAAAGATACCATCATGGTGACTATGGAAAAGAATAGGCATGCGAGCCCGATTACTAGTTTTGTAGGTAAGGACTTGAGAAAGTCTTCTTCGGCATATCGTGCTGTAAGAATGCCTAAGAACATCAGTATTGAAGTGGAAGATGTGAACATGGATAGTGCATTTGAAATCATGAATATCAAGAAAGCCTTTGTTTGAGTTTCCAGCAAGATTGGGAGGCCTGATTGGCTATTACCGCCTGGAATAGTGAACGCTGTAGTAAACATGACCGCAGAGATTAGAGTGCCCACAATCATACTTGATCCTGCAGTATTTTTCATCCATCTCTCCCCCTCCCTGGCCAGCACCTTATGCTCGTCAGTGAATAATGCGGATGGGGTTTTCTTGTTATCATTCATGTCTTCCTTCAGCTTTGGCTGTACAATACTTTCTACTTCCTACAATGTAATCATGAGGTTACCAGACAAATTCCTACTATTTGCTATGCAGGTCTCAAAGTTGTTTTGAGGCTAAAAAACAATATGAGATGACTAATAAGAAAATTGATACAACCTTAAACCATTGTAGTTCCCTCTGCATTTGTAGAGCTGCTCCCGAGACCCGGTCAAGTTGGGATTGAGGGGACAATTTTGCTGCTAAGTGCAAATAATTGTTCCCAAATACATCATGTCGACGTGCCATTATACATCTTTGTGTTCCCAAACCATATATGAGACTGAAAATTTTCTCTTGGCGAAGCACAATTGCATGTGCAAAAATTGTTCTTCCCTTTTTGTCTTTTCTCCATATAATTTCTGGGGTAAATTTGAGAATTTCTACGACAAACTCAACAATTCCATGCTTGATAGCTTCATATAGAACTTTGTCTATCTCCATCTTTTCAAGTTGTGACTTGCTCATGTGTCTGATTTCCTTAAATATACAGCTCAGGAGTTTAACTGCTTCATCATGAACCAATTTCCTGTCATGTATATGCTTAATATCTGGGACTGGAAAATCAACAACAGATCAGTAAAATAATTATCGGAAGTTTTATTGAAAGTACAGCACCAGTAGATGAGACCAACCAAGGCATCTTAAGAGGCTCCACACCATCCTATGCAAGAGACTGATTACTGCAAAGATTATCATTAGATCATACAGAACACAAGATGAAAACTCAAAATTCATGAAGATGCTTCAGACCAAAAATGTTTCAAGAAATCAGGTAAGTACAACATAGAGTATTTAACACAAATTTTCTGTAATTTTATTCGTTTGGGATGCAGTATCTGGGATTTTTTTTTTTTTTTGCATTCCAACCAAACTTCCTAATGTAATTGTCTTTTTCCTACCATGGGCTATTATCAAGAAAGTACTACCTACAACATTTTCGTACTAGAAATGCATGTTTGCCTGCATTAATCTGTTCAACATTGAACAAACAGCAAGAATATCTTAATTTCATTGCAGAAAAACTCACTTCTATTTTATATAGCATCATTGTAAAGTTGAATTTATAGGGTGTAAACAAGTTTGCCATTTGACATTGCTATCAAAAAGATTTTCTATTCCAGTGCAAATATATGAATTTTAGCAGCTGGAAAGAGAGGCGGGCAGATTTCGGGTACATACCACAGTGACGAATGGAATGGCCTTCATGCAATCTCAGATCCCCATCACTCGAATCTGGAATGTCAATGTTGTGGAAATCCATCACACTTGACCTGTGACTTCCAATGCTGTCATCTTCATGATAAGTTTGGGAACCTCTTGGACTCTCCCAAGGAGAATGCACCATTACACCTACCACAATATTATACACCCTCTTATGAGTAGCTCTTGAATGCCATAGATGATTGATACAGAATATTGCAGCACTACATGTGAGTTTAAGGATGATTGGTATATAAATTTGCAATTAGTAGAAGTATATACTCACAGGAGTAGATCCACTTTTTCCAGAGGACAAGTTTTGTTCCACTAGGAAATGCAGAAGGCTTGTGAGCCAATATTCTGAGGGTGTAGTCGCCATTATGATCTGGGGTGACACCAAGATGCGGATATCGTTTCAGCAACATTGAGGCAACATCTGCAGCAATCCAAAAACAAGATTAGAAATGCATCACAGAATATGAAAATTTGTGGTGTAAAGTCTATCCTTTCTCTTAAAAGCATATTGAAGGAGGAAAATGGTCAAAACCATGGCTAGAGTAGAATCAGGAATAACCAAAATTAAAATGTTTAGGTATTGGACAGGGGGCTGTGACGTGTCAAACTCTGAACTTCCTGCAACATGAGGCAGGCATCCTAATATTACATAATATTATAGGTCTCTTTGCGTACAGTCTTACCAAAAATTTCAGCTGTAATCAAACAATTGAGCAATGTAGCACCCCTCTCACCCTGAAGCTCGTCCTTTGAGGTCACCTTGTATAGGTATCGAACCATACGCTTTTGACCATACAAAGCAGCGACGATGACAGGGAGCTGTCCATCATCATGGTCATTTTCCATGCTAACTAGCTTAGGATTTTTTTCTACTATTGCCTTTGCCAACTTTGTTGCACCACTTATTGCAGCTAGAGAAAGTGCTGTGGCACCATACTCATTTATCAATTCCAAGTCTTGTGGCTGCATTTTCTTCACCAACTCTTCTGCAATCTTGATATGACCAACCAGAATGGCAATGTGAAGACCTGTGTCCCTATGTGAAGAAACTCTTGCCCTAACAGCATTTGGATCCTGCTCCAGGAAACTCTTTATAGAATGGCACTTTCCTTCTTCAATTGCTTTGTACAAGTACCCATAATTAAGGTACTCTCTTGCTCCTGGACATGTTATTGAATTAACGTATAGATATATGACTTGCCTATTTGAACGAACTGTTCAAAAGAACTTTCTCTGATTAAGAACTAATCTGTCTCAAAAATGAGAATTTGATCAGATGATTAAACTTACAAAAGCAAAACAAATTTCATCAGCTTCATAATTGTAAATTACCTTCATCTTCCACATGGTTTTCCTCTTCATGATCATGCTCTTTGAACTTGTGTGGGCGCTTGATTTTCTCAGCCAAATGATTCCATGCAACTCGTGCACAAATGTGAGCTTCTTTAAACTTCGCATATGTGGCTGGTCCACATGAAAGTTGAATGGCATGTAAAGCCAATGCATTCTTCTTCTTCCATTCCTCATGTTCTTGTTTCTTATCTTTACTTGGTTCAGGCTCTTTTCCAGATACAACACCCCAAAGTCCATGCCCAACCAAATAATGTTTCAAGCAAACTTTCCAGTCCTCGTAGTTTTCCTCAGTCAGCATCTCGGGAACAATTCCAGTTGCAGCCTTGCTACCTTTTTCTCCTGCTTATACATGAATCAAAATGAAAATGCTAATGTTCCAGGCATAAGAAGGATAAAACTATTCATTATTCCTTATCATATGACAGTTTTGAAGACCATAAAGAACACAAAGAATCAAAAGGTTTCTTTACTTTACTTCAAATGCCGAAATTCCTACAAGAACGTTTCAGAATGGTAACTATGTAACCTCAATGTAATAAAGTTGAATTCCTAACTTGGACAGTATTAGTAATTTTACAATCTTGGCTTTTCATGTTGATAGCCTCGCGCTCATTTTCATCAGTTGAAGAATCATTAAAATCCAAAAAAAAAAAAAAATCAAATTTTCCAATTTAAGCTTCAAAAAATGCCCTGTTTTAGAGAAATGGAAATGTTGCATTTACTATTTCATTGAAATTTTTGACTTTGAAAGATCAAGTTAAAGGTCTACTTATTTCTATTGGCCAACCAAATATCAAAATGTCAAGAACAAAGAGAACATTGTCAAAGTACTAAACTACAAATATTAAAGGTTAAAATCACCAAGGTTATACAAAAATTTCATTGCATAAGCAGATTTCGATGCATGACACATAACCTTTATTCAAATTTTAATTCGCTTTCTTGATATAAGAATATTGTATCCAAACCCGGCTAATGTAAATAATACACTGTCACTATAGAAAATATTATCAAATATTAAATAACTTAAAAGACATTCTACTGCATGCTATGGCACTTTGAGGATTACCTTTGTTCCTCAAGCTTGCCATAACCAGAACTAACCAATCTGAGAATGAATTAGCACCTTTTTTCTCCCTGCTACTATAATATGGTACTTAGGGGTAATACAGAAGCTAGGAAGTTAGAATTGTAGTACTTTCAAAATCTCATAAACTTGAGCTATTAATGCAATTCGATTGTGTAAAATGACTAGTGGAATCTGATTGAGATTTACCAAAGAGCAATCAAGATTAACTTCTGGGAATCCATCTTCTACCTCTCAATATATAATAGACTCTATTCCGCATATACATTAAATATATATATATATATATTCACTAGTTGATAACGTGTGTCACGAACTCACGACTCACATTTTGGCAAGGGCTGCTTCAAATGGTAAATGAGTAACAGCATGTCTTTGACCACATCATCATGATTGCTACTCTAAAATGCGTCAAAGAGAAAATGGTGATGGTTGATCAGATTAATGGTCTGTACAAACACTTTTGCTCATTTTGTGCTTGCCACTAACTTAGTGGCAGAGGCTAATGGTTTGCTTGCCATTAGAGAACCCTCTTGGAGGTTGAGGACTTCTCATTTCAGACTTGGAGAGACGAACGACGAATAAAAAAGTGAGGGTTCAACCTTAAATTGGAACAAGAAAAAGTGATGATTAACTGTTTAGAGTATATCAAATGAGTTGACTGCAGATTTTGGTAGATATTTCAGTGTTGAATGGGATTCCACTTCGTTGCTAGTACTGGGATGCCTTTTTTTCTCCAGCAAAATGGCAGAATTCTCAAACTCGATCATATTAAGGGTTGTTAAGCGACGTACAAGTCTCAAAAATATTCAAGGGAAAGACTCGATTATTGTTGTATGGAAGCTAATTAACTTATCCTAGTTGTTCATATATCAAGAACAAAGTAAAATCTTAATCTGATATGTTCTTAGTCCGATTCTGGAATCAGCTCCGAACAAAATCGTAAGAGGAACAACCAATCATAGTATCCTATTAAGATGTGACCTAAATAACCCCCGTCAATTGAATCCAGAAATATCCTACACAAAAAGTGATACCCATAATCATGGAAGTGAGTTATAACCCTAGCATACTATCACTAGTAGAGAATACAGTGAATTAACGGCAAGTTTTATAATCTATAAGTTGCTCAATGACCAATTAAAACTTGGTAACTAATTAACTATTGGGTCTAATTGTTACAGCTTACGCCAAATCATAATCAGTGATTTGTGCAAATGCCAAAAACACCTTAAACCTTGTCTAGTATTTGTCCTATCTGTTGTCTTTGCTTCTTGGCTTCCAAAAAAGTTCAAAACTTATCATTCATTGCACGTAGAAATTTTCAGATTTAGAGACACCTTTCACAAGGTGCTAAAGAAAAAAAGAAGATTTTTTTCCTCTTCCCATCCTCCTGATTTCAAAGAAGAAGTAGAACCCACCAACTCCTCCTATATCATGCATAAAACTGAAAGCGAAAGGAGTTAATCGATGAAGATATGTGTTGGAAGGCGAATACAATAACATGTTTATAAGTTCAAAAAGCTTCAGGAATTGTAATTCATAAAATAAGATATCTTTTGCCTAAAAAAGGGTATTTGCTTCTTCTGGTAGAATCTAGTATCATATAAGTTTGTGTTCAAATGTTTCTACGAACTGTAGTGTTTATGTCTCACAAGCTTGTGTCATGATGTTTCTTTATGAGTTCACAGAACCATGATCAAGGTGAAAATATCTGGTGTGTATTATGTGTTTGATAAAATGCACGATAGAGCATATCATTTCTGCCAATGCTAATGCCTTCGATGTTTTTTTTACGATAGTTAATATTTTCTCTGAAGAGTTAACACTTCAGGCCCGAATGACTCTTGGTGATTTTCCAAATCTGATGGAAGTTTTATAAGAGCACAATTAATGATTTTTCTTTTCTTTGCTTTTTTCTTTTCTAACTCATTCTAGGATATATTTTGATAGCGGCTGTTGATTATCCAGTGGACAAATTTTATTGGTCATTGAATAACTTATGAATTCTCCCACCAATTGCTCAATAACCACCATAACTCTTTTAAGTTATTATTTTCCAACAAGACTAATTCTAGTACATTGGATGCCTCAGTGAAATTTATGTCCACCTCGATTCTTTTATAAGTGTCTCGACTAGTGTTGTCTTTTGTAAATTGCTCGAGTGCTCATCAAGCACCCAAAAAAAAAAAAAAAAAGAGTTATACCATTAATCAAGCTGTTTTAGTCATAAAATACATAAAAGGTGTGCAAGCATGCAGCAAATTGCAATAAAGAATGTTGCAATGTACGACAAGTTCTAATGTGGTAATCTAACAATCTTCTTGGTGTGTCAACCATGAAACCTTTGCATATTTTCAACAAAGCAAACAAAACCAGACCGTGCATTTGTCTACAAGTGATATAATGATTACTCTCGTTTTGGTGACAAGTTACCTTCTTTTTTTTTTTTTTTTTTTTTTTTTTCTGACGGAGTGGGTGTTCGGGTCAGTCAATTCTTTCAGGACCCGACTAATCTCACTCCGATCTGGGAGGAGAGGCCCCATCCCCCCGAACACGATAACCATAGGACTCGGACCCTTGCGGGCACTGGACACCAACTCCTAAGGAGGCTTGCTGATACCAATCGAATTGTTCATGAGGGACAGACAATTTAATGGGACGCAAAGGTTGAACCCCTGACCTCCCACCCACCAGGAGAGGCGGTGGCCACTGAGCTTTACCTCTTATAAAGTGCAGCCCCAAAGCGGAATTGAAGGGAGAAAAAATTCGTCTGTTTGTGTTAAAACTGGTCAAAGAAAAGCCAAAAAAGGCAAAGCAGAAACACTGAATCAGGAACTTCGTGTTAATGCAAATGGAATACACGTTTCGCACAATTCACATATATATGTTGAAACTACCCAAATAGCATGGAATCATCACGGAAGAAGCGAAGCACTTTAGACATATGTCCTATAAAGTATACATTTAAATTAAAGAAGAAAGACCTAAATTGTAAAAGGCAAATTTAAAATAAATTTCACAAATTATTTTTGTTAGTTTTTATTTTTTTTTTCTTTGTCATGAGAAGTTTGAAATTATAATTTGAGAAAAAGCTCATAAAATTATATACATGAAAAATTAATTTGCAAAAATTCAAAAGGGAAGTTACTGAGGACGGATTCACAAATTATTAAGCAATTTCCTAAAAAAACCAAGGAATTTATATGGTAAACGCACGAATTACTTAGCGAAAGTTTATAAACCTAGAAAGATATTCTTTTCTAATTTCTATAAACTGTTTGAACGTAATAAATTGAAGATAGAAAAGATTATGAATTTTTCCTATTCTTCAGTAGCAAATAACATCATTAACTCTATTCCTTTTCTAATATATATATGTACCCTTTTTGTGCTGAATACATTCTTTTTCTTTTTTTCTTTTGTTTTTTTCTTCGTTCGACAAAGCCAATTTTACCACAAGAAAATTTTCACCTTTTTTTCCCTTAATGGAAGAAAAAGATCTCTGAAATATGTGGTGGGTTTTGGTGAATTTTTCTTAACATGAAATAGAGCTGGCAATTTGTCCCAAGTCCCAATGGGCTACCCATGCCCAAAGGAACTTTGGGCGGGATGGGTATTATAATTTGGTATTGGGTTTAAGTTGGGACACATCCCAACTATACCCATTAATGAATGGGAAAGGATGGGAAATACTTGGGTACCCATTGGGCTCAAATGGCAAGGGCTCCGTTTGGATTAGCTGTTTTTGGTAGGTGTTTTTGAAATATTTTATTGTAACAGTGTATATGAAAAATATTTACTATAAATTTTTTTTTGAAATATTTGATATACTAATATGGATGGGATGTTTCTTGAGTTATTGTATATTACTGTAACATTGTATTTGAAAAACTTATTTTTTGGAAAAATAGTCAATCCAAACGGAGTCTTAGATTCAAAAATCATCTTTAACAATTTTTATAGTCATACCAGCGAATATAATCTAATAGTCTTCCTAGTCATTATCTACAAGAATTTCTAGCATTTCAGTCAGTTTAGATCTGTCATCCTTGGACAATGATCAGGATAAATATTCAACATCCTAAGGACCTTGGTCATCTTGATATATGTTAGAATATAGCTGTATATCTATCTTTTCTTTTATTTGTTAATCTAATTTTTGGTGGGAATCTTGAGTATAAAGCACTTGCATATTTATTTAATGAAACTAAAAAAAATTTAATAAATCAAAAATATTAAAATTATATAAAAAATAAAAAATGAATTAAAGGAAAAAAAATATGTAGGAAATGGATTTGGGTATTGGGCGGGATCAATCTAAACCCATCCCAAAATGATCCCGCCCAAGTTAGTCCCAAAACACATATGGGTAAGGTTTGGCCCAAACCCATATGACTCGGTTCCATCTCAAACCCAAGCAAATCCCGCCCATCCCGCCCATTTTGCCACCTCTATGAAATACTACTGAATTGCTAATTAATGCTCTTATTTGCCTTGGTTATTGCAGCAAGTTCGAGAATGGTAATTTTTATTTATTCTATATTTGCCCTCTTCTTTATTCATCCTCAATATCTGCCTAGCTATCTTAATGTAGTAGATGAAATGCGAAAGTAAAATTGCATTGAAATCCCAGAGATTTTTGCATCGATGTAAAATGGCAGTAATTTTTTGCATGAAGGTTGTCTAATTTTACAAATCTGGACTTGTAGTTGAAATAAAACTTGTCTTCTATGAATGAACAAAACCAAAATTTAAGGGTATGATAATTTATTAGATAGTGCATAATGTATCTGTTAATTGTTATTAACTGGTAACGCTGCTATGGGGACTAGATTTTGCCTTGTTAGTTTATCGTCTCCATAATGATTTCTTGGTCTTTTTTTTTTTTTTATTTATCGTCTAAGGGTATTTGTACCATGATTTCCACTGGTCAAGCCTGCCCCAAACCACCCCCCCCCCCTCCTCCCCAACACCAAAAAAATAAAGGAAGAAGAGATTTTC